AATATTATTGTTGCAACAGTGTGTCTCCATTTTGTCATAGTCGGTCCAGTGAGACTGTCCAGTAGGTGCTAACTCATAATCTGAATTATTTCTCGTTCAAGATGACAGAAAAGTGGTTCAAATTTAGTTCTAGCGTCAGACGTATATGATTTTTAAGAATAAACTGGATCTCGTCTGTGCTAGGTCCAGTTTCGTAACCTTCGATGAGTGGATACTATCAGACATAATGGAACAGAGCATTCCAGCTGTTATACCAGCAAATAATTTTAAGTTACACTCTAGATATAATTAAATGCCTTTGGAAGAAGGAAGTAAATGAAGTAAAGAGGAACAAGATAAAGAACTCTTGTTTTCTGCAAATTACTCTAACACATAAGCTTCACGTCATCAGTGCAGTCATACACATATACACACGAAAGCTCACAAACCACATCGATGTTTTTAACAATAGCGAGAAATTTGTGCAAAGTAAACCAAGCATAAGTTTAACCTTATTGATCAAATATCCATTCAAATTGCAATTAGTTGATAGCAGTGAAAGCTAAGATGAGAGAGACATACATCAGTTAGATGTAGATTGTAAGGTGTATGAATTAGCCGTCTTGTTATTAATTGTTTTGTTTTCACTTAAATACATGTTTGAAATATTCTTTTATGACGGAAGAAATTAATTAGGAAATAGTGGAATTCCATCTTACATTTGTTTTTGTACCATCAGAAAACAACAGTGCAGAAACGAATTGCAATATTGATAATATGTAAAACTGCCCCAAAAATAATTGAGAATAGCTGGTACAGTCTTTTTGCATAAGATTTTTGGAGTTATTGACAATTATTTCAAGTTAGATTAGGCCAATTTTAATTTATAATTTTCTTCTTTTTTCTGCAAAGTATTACGGATAAATAAATTTATCGTAAACATTAAACATGATAAACATTAAACTACTAAAACAACTGATTTGCTGCGAGGTGTATTATTTGCTTTTACTCTGAACATGATTATTTTCATATAAATATGAGGATAGGTAACTAATTTTTAACAAATTCATTGCATTAGTGAATAATATGCAGGTAAAAAGATTTCCTTGTCTGTATTTCTTTTGCATTTTAATATTAGAAATTTAGTGTAACTTTTTTTTACAATGATCCATTTATGAATTATGCATCTTTAAAATATTACAAATGCATCACTGCAATGGAATAAATGAATTATAGAATTGATGCTTTTAAAAATGAGTCATGATTTTTTGTCATCAGTGATGATGATGCATAATAGCTTCCCTCATGAAATTGTTAGCCATCATGAAGTGCTCATGCAAGTAAAATTTGTAAGCTACTTCATTCTTGTGGTAAGCTATAATTAGCTGTATAGTAACGATAAAAGTTGTATATAAAAGTATACTTTGTTAAGTAGATTATAATATTTTTTTAAATAAATTGCATGAGCAATATATGCATTTTAAGTCTTCGCAAAAAAATTATTATATGCTGTTTAAAGTCAGCCACTGCATCAATAATTCTCTCTCGAGGAAAAGTTTTGGTTTTGTTATTTAAGTCAGTACAACTAAAATTGAATTATTGACTGAAATATGCTATTATAGGAACCAATGCATTTAAATTAGTATTGTTCAAATTTTCAATATTTATCTTAAAATACTAATGAAATTATTATAATGACTCCACAAATTCATAAATTAATTTTGACATGGGGCAAATCATAACTTGAAGATCAGCGTCCATTATTTCCGTTTTCCTTTTTTTCAGTGATACTTGCGAGTAATCAAAATTCATTTTCATGTTTATTTTCTTGCAATATCAAAACCATCCAATTTCCTGTAATTATTCAAATAAAGAATAAAAAAATATTGACAGTTTTTCCAGTCATTGAGCTTAATAAGAATTTTCCATTAGATTTTCAAAGAAATTCGCAATTTATCTCATTTTAAAAGATTGATTCATAAAATAAATGATAAATGCATTATAAATTTCTCCTTCACTTCTGAGATAGATTATTATTATTCTTTCTTGCTCCTAAGATTTATTAAGCTCTTAAATTTCTTTTCAATGCCACATAATTCAGATTTCTCATGAAGTAATACATTTCACATATGTTTCAATCTTAAAATTATTTTATTTCGTCCTGGATATCAGCCTGTATTGATGTTTTTGAAGTTTCTTTGCTTCACTCATTTCCAGCTTTGTAGCATTTTTCAATTAATCACCTAAGACTAAATAGATTGAAATGAAAAAAAAGTTCACTCGTTTTTAAGTGAAATTGCAACGGAAAAATATTACGATATTACAAAAATCATGTCATGAAATGTAAGGAAAATTTCTCCCATAAAGCTTAAATTTCAATTTCAATCCCTTACTATTTGTTTATTGGTTCGTTTTAGCTATTATGGTGCAATAAAAAAGGCCGAGAACCATATAGACATTTTAACTATAGATAAAATAAAGATTAAGGACGGGCATAAATAAAATAAAAATAAAAAAATAAAAACGCTCTACATTACAACTTTACGAAAGGCGCTTCACTGGAAGACCATGATCCGTATATAGCTGTTCACTTACATTTATTGCAGTAATAATCCACCCATGTAGTAACCCCAGTAAATCACGTTGAATGTTGCATAAACTACTGGAAATACCGTAAAGTTATGTGCATAATTCAAATTTATTAATATTGCCAACTTACGAAAAATTGAAGCTGTGAAAAAATATCTGGTGTTGTTTTGCTCATTTTAATTTGTTTTCGTATGCTAACTGTGCTTTTTTCGAATTTTCGGAAGATTCTTTACCGACGTAAACAAATGTGGAAGGGGTCTTTTCTTTGCTACATATGAATTTTGTAGCACTTTTAAATCTTGAAATTTTTGCAATAAAACTGCTTGAAGCCAATTTTTTGGCATTGAATAAAAGCAGTGTATTTTGAAATTGACCTTGAAAATGGAATATAAAGTAGTACTACAGTTCACTCACTTGGAAAAGTCGTTCTCGAATACAAATCCAGTTTTTCGATATCAAAAATGAATGATTTTCTCTAAAACATGGTGAGCATGGAAAGTTATAATATTAAGTTGTAACAATTTTAAAATATTCTTGAGGAATAAAACTGTATGCATTCTAGTTTCGTATATTGAAGAATACAAAATTAAAAAGACAAATTAGTACTCTGGAACTGAAATTAGCAAGGTTTGATGAACCTCAAAGCGTATTCCCCAGTGATTTTCGTGACTTTCATGTTTATAAATATGTCAAAATCAAGTAGAACTAAATCATTATGCAATGAACAACTATAAATATTCAAAATGGAAGGTCAAAACTGACTTCGTTATTGATAGTTTTAGTTTGGCCATCATTACGACCTTCATTGCTACTCACGAAACCAATTACTGCGAGCTCAATCAATGATGCAAATATGAAAGTCATTCCGCTGTAAATTATATTTAAATTTCATTGACGGAAGTTATGAAAAATTTATTGAATTTTAGTTTAAGTGTATCATTATTTTTTAACTAATTTTGGCAAAAGTTTGTTTATTTTCTAAACCTACTATTACTTTTCATAACCTAATGCAAATGATATTGAAATATCTGATAAAACCATACTTTTTCCTGACTTTTATTACTGATACTTTGTAACTCTTCCGTTAACTACTGGTGATGATACAGATCTCAGAAAAGTTATCATTTCTTTCTTGCAATATTTTTCTTCACGTATGAGTTGAAGTAAAATTTTAAGTTAGGAAAAAATTAATAATTCAAAATAAACTTGGAAAATTCAAGGCTATTTAAAAAAGGATATGGAGATTTTCTTCATGCGAGAAAAGTAAATTATAGTATGTTATGACTTTGCTGTCCTCATCTTATAAAATAGCATTTAAAATTTTTGGTAGACATTAAATTGAGAGCAAGTGAAACTACTTTTTAAACGAGTTATGCCAGAAATTTGTTTTTCCTTCAAGATAGAAGCTGAATTTCCCTTTCTTGCTAACATAAATAATATAATCATAAGCAAGCAATGTAAAAAGTGTCTGATGAAAGAATTTTATATGTAAAACTTGCGATCATTATTTTCAAATAATCTACTAATTTTTAAAATGGTATAAAAAGCATGCAACGTAAACGCTATGTAATGTTTTGATACTCGTTGCACATTCAAAAACAGCGATTAGTAATTAACTTAAATTCAGTGATAAATTATAGGAATCTGTTTCCAAATCCATGTCCGTCTAAAAGTAAGTTGGATATGACTCTGCTAGAAAGTATGGATTGAGCAAGGTTTATAAAACAAAGTCAAAAGAATTGCTCACCTGAAAACCCATATATCAATTGCCTGCAAATTTACTTATTAATGGCTTTTATGTTTTACAAATTTGATAACTCTTTCATCTCGTTTTTATAGAAAATAAAAATGAGTGTTTTGAAGGTATGAAAATAATTGAATAATTGCTTGTGACAAAATTCAAGAAAAAATAATTGAATGAACGAGCAAATTTTTCTTCCAAATCTTAATTATGACTAAATATTTTGCGTTAGTTATATTACAGTTCAACAATCTACTTTGATATAGGATACTCGAGGTAAATTCCGGATAATATTTCCAAATTGAAATGTCATTGCAAGGAGAGAATTTACACCAATCATTGTTCGAGCTGGCATTGCGCGAGGACTCATATAAAATGGTATCCAAGAGATGAAAATTGTTAGATAAGTTGGGATATATCCTAAACTACAGGAAATGATTTAAATTGATCATGATCACAATCGTTTGATGATAAAAAATTGAAATATACCTTGTAGTATGTACCAACCATATCGTCTTTTAAACGTGAATGAAACCATAAGTTCATCCCACAAACCCGCAGCGTATTCCTACAATTGACATCATTTACTTTTTTTCTGCATTAAGACAAAGTACACTTTGAAATTGAAACATGAAGATCGCTATTCTTTCTAGCAATATTATACCACTTGCAAATTAAAGCAAAATTATTACAGCTTCAGTCCTTGAAAACGTATAGTTGACAAGCGTGAAATCTGGTAGCTCAATATCCTTAAACATTAAAACTGCATGAGGTTTATTCCACCTCATTCGTACTTCCTGAATATTGTAATTGTAAGATTCGAATTTCAGCATACAAGAAATAGAATCCATTGGAAAGTTTCTCAAATCCATAGAACATGGACCAGTGCTTTTAATACGCCAACATGACCATATTGAGCCTGAAATTTAAAATTTGACGGAACTGAAAAAGAAGCTAGCCATCACGTAATTGATTATATATGGTCTGCGAGCTTTTGGAAATTATGAATATTGAAACTAACCTTTTAAAATGATTTGAACATTTTAGTTAATTGTTATCGTTTTAAAACAAAGTGAATTTTTAAAAATGAAAATAAAGTAAACCATTAGGAAAAACCATAAGAAACACATTTCGAAACGGTGAACTATGGATGAGTGCTTTTTTGGAGTTGATGAAGCAAGTATTTGGAATCCAAATACTCTCCTGGATACTATGATCAAAACTTAAATTTCCATTACATGGATAAAGCACTTCATAGTTAAGAGCTGGATCTTCCCAAAATTCATTGACATATAAATCTGAAAATAAGTAGTAAAATTTCGTTTCGATTGCTAATTTTTTTTGCAGAAGGATTTGAATGAAATTACCATTAATCCATGATAATTTTTCACGCGATTACTGTAATATCGTGCCAGTCAATTAAAGCAAATTAAATTTTGAAATTTTTTCAGCGATTTAAAACAATATATTTTTATTCTCAATTAAATATCAATTTCAATTACTTTTAAAACGTGTGAGAAATTCTGACTTTGTCATAAAGTCGAAGTCTTAACAGATCAAAGGTTCAAAAAATTTATTCCTTAATAAAGCAATCTGTAAAAGTAAAAGAATTTGAAAAGTTTATTAATAAAAAAACTAGTTCATTCAATATTGAAGTATAAGAAGAAACTTTGAGCAAGTTATTTTTGCAACCATGAATGGCTCGATAATATATATTTAACCTAGGTAATTTAATTTCTCGTGAAAAAGAGCTATTTTCTGGAATGCTCTAAATTGGTGCTCTTTTTCAGACATTTTTGGAATACTAGATAATATTTAATAATTGTTTTACTCTCCTTTAGTCTTCATACTCATACTTGTCATTCATTGAAAAATAATATTTAAATAATATTTAACAGATGCAAAAGTAAGGGACTTTAAATTTTTGAAAGGCAGAAAAAACATTACAAATGTTTAGATCCTGTATGCAAAACTAATTACGTAAGTAATGTTTCAAATGAGGTAGTAGCTTAAGATTGTATAATGTGTATCAATATGTCATGTATTTTCATTTCATAAATAACCAACAAACTGTATTTAAAAGGTCAAAGTAATATTAATTGAATCGATAATGCAAAGTTATAAATTTGGAATTAACTTAATTTTTTTTAAGGCGGCAAAAGCGACAAAAAACATTTCCTCATCTTCAGATATGCCTTGTTTATTTCAACGTGACTAAGAATGAAGTGCTTATCAGCAAAAAGTTTTTTTAAAAAAAAGCAAGCAAATGCTTGAGATTAAATTTAATTGCCATGATGCTTTGATTGTATTTTTTTGCAGTCATAAAATTTTATTGTTGAACGAACCAATTTCAAAATCCTGAGTAAGTTCCGATACAGAAGTAACTTCTTGAATCCACATTTCGATTCGTACTAAAACTGGTCTAGATGGCAACTTATGACGATTATATCTCACTGATGCTTCTGATAACAAGTGATCTATGACATCAGTATCATTAGAGCAGTGTTTAGGAGATAGGGGCTCTGAAGATGCCCATGTGAATATTGCACAGTTGTGAAATACCAATGCAAATAAGAAAAGGCTTTGTTTAATACAAGTTAAACAAAGCCACGTGAAGATAGCTTGTAACATAACTCGAAATCTTGGGGAAGTTTGTTTGTTAAGACTTGTTATTAGTGTCGTAAATACTTCGTCAAGTTTAAGCTTTTGCTAACTTTCTTTCTTCTTTTTTTTGCAGTACTTTTCCGTGCCTTCTTCGTCACTTATTCATTCAAACCTTAATCCTCCTCCATCCAGCATTAATATAGAAAATTGGATGAATAGGCCCCTTTTCCTAACATCAATAATTTACAAGGCCGAAATCTTGTTCAAAGTACTTCCTGAAAGATAGCAATCTACATACTACAGCCGTCACTCAATTTGAAAGATTTTTCAAGGAGTAAAAAAGTTATACTCAAACTTTGCAAAATTGGCAATCCAAAATATATTATGAAGCAATTAAAAGATAAATAAGTAAGATTTGTTTTGCTCACAACTCCATAATTTTCGTACATCTCTGCTTAGAAAGCCATATGAAATAATTTCATCCTCAGCTGATCGTTTGTTTTATCTTGTCAAGATGATGATGATAACAAATAACAATATAATCCGTTACTATTAAGTAGGTTCTTCTTAAATTTGCCGCGGATGATGACGTTGACAAAATATGCAATGTTTAAAAATCTACAAAATTCACTTAATTTGTCACATGTAATAATTTTAATTTTTAATTTTTTTCATTAACGCTTTGAAATTATTGTATTCTTTGCTTAATTAATAAACATCTGACAATTTTGAGTTTTATTATGAGTTATTAATATGCTGCAATTGTGGAAATAATTCAAAATTGCTAAAAAAGAGCTAACATTCTTATCATCACTTTTTTTACTCTCCATGCCCGTAAAAATTCCTATTTTTGCTTTGTTTCTCTTAATTATTTGCTTATTATTCAGTTTATTTTTTGTATACTAACAAAAAATACCATTTTTATGGCTATTTTTGGCATTTTTTTCCTTTACAATGCTCATGATAAATGCGATATTTAATATTCAAATCGTTTTAATTAATGCATTCTGTTTGAAAAAGCTCCTTGTTCTGTCATAAACGATAAATTGTAAGAAATTGCAGTGCACACCTGATATATTCAAAGCTAAAGTGCATTATGCGTAATACAAACAATTTTGAAGGTAAACTGAAGAAGTAAAATACAGATATGAAGTGATCTAATTTTTCTACGAAAATTTAGTTTTTAATTAATTTGATAAAAGTTGTTATTCATGTAAACCAAGAAACAAATAAATGAATATATCTGCTTTATATTTATTGTTCATTTCTTTTTTTGTTTAAATTCTCTATGTGTAATGATGTCATTGTATTGAATGTTTACTACAAAATCACAATAGTCAGATACGGTTATTAGTGAAATTATTGAAAAGAGATGAAAAGAACGGACAATGAGGCGGTAATTGGTTGGAGTGATAGTGCGCAAAAGTTCATTAACCTTATAATTTCCTGAATTTCAGTTTTCCATGAATTAAGTTCAAAACTGTGTCGTATTACTAAATTATAAAACGACAAAAGCTTTTGCAGGCAATTACTTTATTTTAAACACCAAACTAGATAGATAGATAAATAGATATGTGATAGATAGATATATGATACATAGAAAAATATTTTTAATAAAATTCAAGAGCAACAAATATTCTTCACTTACTTTACTTATAATATTAGGACATAAATTGAATGAATTAAGATGAGCAGTAAAGAATAAAATTTGCATATTACTCCAAATGTACTTTACATAGATGAAGCAATTTTTGAATTATTGTGAACAGAATGAATGATGAACAATATTAATAATGCTAATGACAAGAGCCATTCGGAGAAATTAAACTGGCAACAAAAGTGAAGACCACTCAAGGAATAATAGAAAACAAGTGATGGCAAAAATTATTATTTCCTGCTACTTTAAATAATAATTGAATATATAGTGCTGTGTATAAAATATGCGGTATCAATTAAAATAGAGATTGATACAGTGATAATAAAGATAACAATGATATGTATTGAATAAGCGAAGATAATTTCTTGCTCAATTATTTAACTGAAAAAGGTTGAGAAAGCAATAATGAAGAAGGCGGAGCGGAAATGATTGCGGTAAAGAGCAGTAGATTGGGTCGAGCTGCTGAGGGACCTGAAAATGCTGCTGCTTCTGCTGAGGACGGTGGTGGTAGTGGTGCTTCTCAATATTGAGACGTGTTTTCAGCTAACTCATCAAGTCCAATCTAATAAGCCATGTCCTCATTTATGTTCTTGCTCTCAAGACACAGTCATTTGTACTGGTCAAGGACTTTCCAGAATACCTAGTGGAATACCTTCTAGTACTATTAGACTGTATGTTCTTTCCATGACTTTTTTTTTAGCATAATACATTTAAGAAAACCAACTATTATCCTTTTTGTTGCATTATAAATAATAAAAATGCAGTGAAAGAATATGGCAATGAATTAGAGTTCTTGATTACTTTCATTGTTTTTTTTCATAAAATTAAGAAATAAACTGAAATTATAAGTTAAAACTTCGAATTATTATTGCTTTTTGCAGAGATCTTCAAGAAAATAAAATTGTTGAAATACGGAAAAATGATCTCGCAACATTGCGACATCTCAAAATTTTGTTAGTTTTTGAATTTTTTCCTATATTTTTAATTTTTATGATCCTTTAAAATATATAGCAAGTCTGATCTCCTCTTCATTTGCAACCAACATTTAATGGTCACATAAAATTGGAATAAATTTATGATCTGTCATTTTGCCCATAAACAATTATATTTGCATACCTTTTATGAGTAGTTCAACATGTTTTTTGCAGACAGTTGATGGATAATCATATTCGAATGATCGACAGTAATGCTTTTGATAATTTGATTTCATTAGAAAGGCTGTAAGTTTTTGTAAAGAATTAGCTCATTTATAACCACCAACTTTTAATGATGCACACATTTATCACTGCTAACATTTAAAGTTCTATTATTGTGACAGGATGGATTTTTCTCAAATTTATCAAAATTAGATATTTTTTGAAACTATTTACAGTTTATTAATAATAAACCATCAAAGATAAAAAAATTGCTTCAAAACTTTTATTGTTTTCAAATTTTCTTTTTTTTTTTTGCAGGCGTTTAAACAAAAATCGTCTACGAACATTACCTGACGAAATCTTTATCAGAAACGTCAATTTACATCGGCTGTTAGTAAACTCAACATTCTTGCTTTATGAGCTCATTTTACAGTAGTAATTAAAAAATTTGCTAAAATAAATTTTCTGAATTGATAAGATTTAGATCTTATGAAAGGAATTAGAAAAAATAGAAAGTTATTCAAAAAGCTAAAGCAAATGTTTTTCAGTATTTTTAACGTCAATTCAAGACCTTTGCTATTTTGAATAAACAAACTGTGCATCTTGTTAAGATGTCTCGTGTAAATAATTTTGTCAAATCACTAATTTACTTTTCACTCTACTCAACTGTTCCATTTTTTTAATTTGTAATTTTGCATTGAAGTATAGCAAATTTTATAATTTTGCAGTTTATATAATTTCACTAATACTCAAATTATCAAATATTTATTTTATCCGTGACCATGTCAGAATGATATCGATCTTAGACAGCTGTTGATTTATGCTGCGAAAATTGAGAGGTAATAGAAACCAAAGCCATTTGAAAAAAAAAGATGGAAAAGTTAATGATGGAGTTTATTGCTATATTTGAAAGAAATTTTAGTAAAAAAGTATTTTATAGCATTTTTAAAAGCATCACAGTTAGCAAATGAGTTGCAACATTTGTTGTCTTTAAAAAGCAAACTCTTTTTTGGATGATGCTTGTGAATTTCGTTCAAATTGAAATTAAAACAATACATATTCTCAAGTCAAAATAATTGCATTATCCTAAAATACACTTCATTAAGAGAGTTGTTGTAACTTCTTTAATTTTTACTATTCTATGCTAAAAAAAAACCACTTAATTATTCAAATCTTGATGAAATGTTATCAAAATATTGTCAGAAACCCTAAGTTTTTTAATCGTTTACATGAATCTGCATGCTCTACATGACCATACAGATACATATTTGCATAAAATATTAGAAAAGGTTTTAGGTTTGATCGACTTTTTTTTTGCTTGAATTTATAATTTTCATTTTTACGTCTACTTAAGTCAAGTAATAGGAAGATGATGCTTTCATTCCAATACAGAAAAAAGCTTTTTATTTGAGATGAAATTTGTAGAGAAAACGTTAATGGAGTGAATATGTAAGAAACTGTTTAGATCACATACTAAGTAATAATAAATTTAGATCGATTTTCAGGATCACCTTTCAACTAATAACTTATCCTTTCTTCGCTTTTTATTGTTAGATATTACTGGCTTGTTGGCTTTAAACTTTTAGTAAGCCTTGACCATTTGGATTAAAATAAGAATTTTTGAAATTTATCACTGAAGTAACACATTTTGATATTTGAAATTTGAATATATTTTCAATGTTGAAGTAGTTTTCATTGAATATTTTTTAACTGTATTTTGCTTAATAATTATTTGTAATTTATTATTAATGTAAGCTTCATCTTCTTATTAATTGAATATGCACTAAATTAGAGCATTCATTTCACTCTCAATCATCAACAATTTTAGCCATAAATATTTCATAAATTTTCAGTCGTTGGATTCTTTGCATTTCTAGGCATCAATAAATTTTCGAAGATTCACATACAAACTGCATATAAAGTATAGGTTGAGCACGCAAGATGAACTTGATCTGATATCCATGTTAGCAAAAAAACCACTTTTAACTTTTCTTTTTCATTTTCATTCTATTGTAATTCATTTTTTGACTCTATAAGAAGTAGCTTACGAAAAGCAAATGAAACAAAAGCTTTTATTGAACAAACAATCATAGGGTCAAGACTATACTCGATGAAAAAATGAGTAAATAAGTTAGTGAATGAGTGAAAAAGGGAGCAAATAAAAGAGTTAATTAGTTAATAAATTAATCAGTAAATAGTGAAAAACTGTGCAAATATTTTCCATTTCAGTACACAAATATTTATTTAATTGACTGTATTTCGAAGTGCTATGTTTTATTTTCTATTCCTTGCCATCTTTTCCTTGTAATTATAAAGGCTATCTAATTGAAACTTTATTTGTTATTTAAATATTAATGTTTTATTCATCCCACAAATTACTTCTGCACATGCGATTTGGTAATATTTCTGGGAAAAGTTGAGCGGCTGTAATGAATTAATTTAAAAATAATAATAAACAAAGAAGTAAATGCTTAAATAATAGAGACAGCAAAGCAGTTTGGTCGTATTATTACTATCAAAATTTTTGTGCGCTCTAAAATTCAAGCACTATTTTCACTCCATTCATAGATACCGTTAAAAATTTTTAAATTTAATTTAAAATATTTAACATAGCTGAAAAATGTATTGTTATTTGAATAAAAAGTTATAACTCTGAACCAAAACAAAGTATTGCTATATGAAGTCGCATGTGGTTAAAGTTGGGAAGTACAGCTAATAAATAACAATCGCTTTTAAAAAGTTACTTGTCTATCAAGTTTGACGTGGATGTTTGTTTTTTCTAAAAATTCTTCACTGGCTTATCTAATAATTGTATAGTTTGGATCGAATTCACAGTTATGTTTAAAAACATCTTAAATTAGTCCAATTTTATGGACTTAAAATAACTTTGTTTAAAGTATCACTTTCCAAGAACTTTATTTTACTTATCGCATTTTTCTAAGATTTCATATTTTCTTTTATTCGAACTTACTTTTTTTTGGTTCATAACTTCAGTTTTTGAAAACTTCAACTTTTTGTCAAGTTCCATTCTTTCTCCTGAGGTATTATTATTATGAGCTTGATTGATTGAAGCTTCTTCATCAAAAGAGTAAAATTACTAAGATTACTATTAAAAATTCACTGATAAATGCAATCATTACTGTAAAACAAAAGGCACTGTAAAAAACACCTTCTAAGCAACTACCTGTAAAAAGAAGACATGAAGTTCTAGAACTAAAGAAAAACATGCAACTTTTGATTTAAATGTTATTTCTTGTATCAAATAAATCATCCCAATCAGTATATAAATATATGATAGCAGTTCACCAAACAGTTGGAAAAGTCATATTTGAAAAAAGAACAAAAAACGTTCATTTCAATAATTTTGTTTGTCATGGAAGTTATACATTTTTCATTCAAGAATCTGTCAGATAAACAATTGAATTAAAAAAGTCCAATTTTCATTTTTAATTTCAAAAGTTTGTAATAAAAGTGAGTCTCGAAGTGTTTTAAAACTTTTCAATTAATTTCTTTTTTTTTCAAAGATATGCTTTTATAGTTGAAACTTGGTGTCATAGCAGATTGAAGTTCTCTAAAACATTCTTTTTTCAGTTGATAACTTAGCTAAAATGATATTACTCGTGAAACAATTTCTTCAAGAAAGTTGAAATATGAGTTTTAAGTCATTTGATACTTCCGTAATGTAACACTTTTCAAAGTTTTTAAATCATTAGGAATTGTAATATTTTAAAAGCAATATTTATTTAAATTAAAATATATTAGATAAAATTTCATATTAAAAGTAATGAAAATTAATAAGGTTTGCCCATCAAAAGTTCAAACTCAAACATGCCCAGCTTTTGATAACAAATTAATAAATTTCTCATTTGTACATATTTACTTCATTTAATATGTCTTTTTTTTAAACATGAGTATCAATTTTTCATCATCATTTGAAAGCGTCAAATTTTTAAAGTTCATCAAATTTCAACTTTTATTTGCAAAATATTTCGTCAAAATTTTTGAACGTTTCACTTATTTTAATTTTCAAACAAAACTTTGAATTGAATTGCAAAAGTTAATATCTCCAAAAATAAAGTTTTAAAAAATTACACAAATTAAAACAAATAGGATTTTAAAAATAAAATCTTGTCTTTTTTCAATGTTGTCTGTAACAAATTGACAAAGAATTGCTTTTCTTAATATACTGACAATTTGCCATCATTAAATGATTAACGAAGTAAACATGATAAGATATGCATATTAAAGTTGGTTACAGATATTGCTTTTTTTTAAAAAATTTTTTATCACGAATAGATTGGTGGCGTTTAATAATCCAAATCAGAAAAATATTATTATATTTAGTTCAAAGTAATAGCTGTTTATTTTTTAAACGTAGCAACAAACAAGATTACTCAGTTTTCAGGGATTTGAGTGAAAATTTGTTAACTGTATTAACTGATACACAATTACATGGGCCGAGATCCGTACGTAATCTACAACTTGATCGAAACTTATTAACATGGTATTTTGAATGCTTATTCATCTTAAAATTATCAATGGAGCATGTTTACTCAGTTATCTTTTTACACTTCCTCAATACTACTGCATTATACTACTTGTTATAGAAGAAAAAATATGAGTATTATGGATTAGTGCTTGCTTATTATGTATTAAGGAAAATAGCTACTCCTTTCTTGTAATAATTGTTTTGAAGAAAAAATTTTTAAATGCGACAACTACTTGATAAATTTATTTCTTAAAGTCATAAATTGAGTTGTTGTTTATTTTTTCCTTTGCTAGTAGAAATTTGAGCGGTAATATGAAGTAAATTAATGATCAGCTGAAATATTAAAAATAGTTGAACTTTAAGCTGAATATTAACCAGGAAGAATATATGAATTGGGAATTTAAATAGATCAAAAAGATAGTTATGAAAAAAATAAGCTATGAAACTGGACAAGAATTGCGCGACAACTCATTTTGTGATTGCCTAAAAACGCTTAATTTAAACTATGCTGAAATTTAACTTTAGATGGTTTTTAATTGTTCAAACTTAAATACTGAGGCAGTTAAGTTCTAATTTATTTAGTAGAATTTTGAAATGCAAAAGTTCAAATTTTTTTTGGAGTAAATTTGAATAGACTACAAAAATAATATGAGACAAATTAATTTTAGCTTAGATAACCGTGTGATATCAACATGGACAGAGATGGAAATATTTACCTTAAATGGCAACAATTTAAGTACAATGGGTCAAATTGGATCTATGCCCAATCTTCGAATATTGTAACTGAAAATTAATAAAGATTATTTAATTTAAATTATTTCATTTTGTAAAAATTTAAAAGCTCTGTAACTGGACTGTTTTTGCTAAAAATATTTGTTGTACATAATTTTTTGTTTTGAAATAGATCTGATTGCTACATATTAATTGTTGAATGAAAACAAGAATCATATTTTTATATGGTATAAAATAAATAGATCAATTTCAAACCACTAAATAATAAATGTAAGATTTGTAATATTTTTATAAATTATTTAGAAGATTGGCAGATAATCCGTGGCTATGCGATTGTCGCTTACGATGGATGAAAAAATTTATTTCTAATTCATATTTATTTGCTCGAAATACTCGATGTAATCGTCCAGCACATTTGCATTCTCACACGTTAGAAAGTATAGATGAAATGGTTTGTTATAATAAGAATTTTTTTTTTAAAAAAAAAAAAAACAAACTTTCTTAAAATAAATAAAGGGATGGGTAGATGAAGTAAAAAAAACAGATAAACTATTATAGGTAATTCAAAAGTCAAAACTATTCATTTCTGAAAATTACAAATGATATTTGTGGAAGACGGAAAACTATCGAGTAAGATTGAAAAAATTACGAAAGGTATTGCTGTTGATATATCACAGATTTGCTTTGATCTTTTTAAGCAATCATTGTTGCTCATAAATCTGCATTGAAATAACAATGATCACTGATGTAAATTGAGCATAAATCAAAAACAACTGATCCAATTTTAATCAATCAAATTCATTGCTTTACCCCATGCAAAAAAAAGACATCTTAAAACTTATTTTACTAAATTTATTGATTTCTAGAAAGTAAAATTTGATTATAAAATGAAAAATTTTAATATGCTTTAAAATTATAATGGATTCTGTTTACAGTTTAAATTATTAATGTTATAAGTGTGAATTGTGCATCACATTAATACATCAGTGCATTAATTAATTGATGCATTGATGCATAAATTACTTGTATCAGTATAATGATTGATGCTTAGGCATTATTAAAATTATACTTTGTTAAAAATGCAACGAAAATGGCTGAATTCAAAAATACCTTTCGATGATAACATTCATGTTAAATGTTTATTCACTTGTTAATAATATCAAACAATCGTGATTTTACTTATCGATTTTCCTAAAAAAAACCAGTACTGTTGTGTTTTAATTAAATTCAATCCAATATTATTGATAGCTCTCTAAATGTAGGCAATGAAATGTTCGGGAATCGAAAAGCGAGCAGCGAGGTCATGTCGAGATGCTTCTGTGTGTCCATCAGTTTGTACTTGCACTGAAACCACTGTTGATTGTCGAGATCGTGGTTTAACTCACATTCCTGCTAACCTCCCCTTGACAACTACTGAACTGTAAGCATAAAAGTGAAATTTAAAAAAAAGATTCATTCATATTGATAGATTTTATAACACTTCCTAACGTGTTTCTCATTATTTTAAAAGATTAATCACTTTGAGGATATCATCTTTTTTCTAAGAATGAATGATGTTAGAACTCAAGAAAAAAAGAATATTCGTGAAAGTTATACTTAAATGTTTATTTTAGAAGGCTTGAACAGAATCAGATAAGCTATATTCCTCCTAAAGCGTTTTACAATCTTCACCACCTCAAGCGACTGTGAGTAAAAATTTCACTTCGTTGTTCTTCATAAGATATTTAAAAAACGTTTACATGGCTTCAATATAAAGGAAATTTGGTATCTTTCAGTGATCTCAGCAAAAACAATATTGTGGAAATTGGTCCTCGAACATTTGAAGGTTTAAAATCGTTAAACTCACTGTAAGTTTCACATCAGTACTTTTATTTTCAATAACGATGCCAGATTATATAAACAAATTACTATTTAGCCACATTTACGCAGTAGCACTACTTACTCGTTCACAGAAGTGTTATCTTTGTCAGTCAAGTTTTCATAATTTTACTCTTCACTGCTCAAATTAATTTTAATGAAGCAATGACTTGGTTTTCAAGAATAAAAAAACCTTAAGAATTTGAATGAAAACATGCAATAATATTTGCAGTGTACTGTATGGGAATAATCTCAATGATATATCCTCCGAAGCATTTCATGGTCTCGTCAATTTGCAGTTATTACTTCTTAATGCCAACAAATTACACTGTCTTCGAAAAAACACCTTTTCAAATTTAAGAAGCCTAAATTTGTTATCTTTATATGATAATCAAATTCAATCAATAGCGAATGGTACTTTTGATGGATTAATTAATCTAACAACACTTCATTTGGCAAGAAATCCTATAATTTGTGATTGTAATTTAGTAAGTTTCATCAAATT